GTGTCTGTAAGCAGTCTCATGACAACCCCATAGACCGAGAACATCAGGATACCCACCATCGCCCAGTCCCCACATACAGCAACCATGGACCACCCTGTGGGTAGTGCGCGGGCAGTGTCTGTAATAACTTACCTGCGTCATCCCAAGGGGGTGTGTGTCCAGCAGTGGGTCATTCTAATGCCCTGCCGGTGTCCATGCGCAAGGCTGCAGAGTTTCAAACCTGCAACCTCGTGATACCACAATGCGCATTTCCAACCGGTGCTCTAACCACTGAGCTACATCTTCCTTTTTTCTTTCTTCTTTTTTTCTTTTTTCTTTTTCTTTTTTGAAGCAGTCCCACCTTTGCCAGAGATGCTGTTGAGGGCAGACATCGCTAGCCCCTGGGGAGGGGGTTCATCTATTGGTGGGGAGCATCACCTGCTGGAAAACGGGTCCAGCGTCCCTGAACTGGACTGCAGCCAAGTGTTTCCATTCCGCATTCCTGTGGGGTCCAGGCCTTAGTGTACAAGTCCTGAAGTCAGTCTGTCGGCCAAACCAGCTTGCTAAGCTGGATGATGCTTACAGATATCCTCCACAGGTGGAATGTCGAGGTTTCCCAGGGCCACGTACCACACACACTGTTGAGTGGAGCTAACTCAACCAGTTCTGTTCTATTTAAAAAAAAAAAAAAAAAACATAGATTTCACCTACTTTTTTTCAAAACCCTATTTTTTCAAAAAAAAAGAAAAAAGAAAAATCACAACTGCGCTCTGCCACTCTTCAAGTTATATTGGAGGCTCTGCCACCCACCTGGGGCCAAGTCCCACCAGCGGAGTTTTTTTTTTTTTTTTTTAACATCCCTAGAAATCCTGCGATCCTGTGGTGGTAAGACTTGCGGAATTTAAGTCTTCCTTGGGAGAATTTTTCAACGTGCACCACGGTGGGGCCATCAGATGTCCCGATCGGATGGTAGGTACCGGCACGAACTTGAAACCGAGTCCCGACTCCCGCCAGAGGAAATTGGCCCCTGAACGCACAACATCCAAACGCAGCAATACTTGCCTGGAAGCTGGCTTCGTGAAGATACCTGATCGTCTGAGGTGGCTGGAAACACAATTGACAGACACAGATTGGGAAATGATTTGTTTGTTATATTCTTCTCTCGAGTTCTTTTTGCCTTTCACTACATTCCTACCACTGCTCCTAAGACTATATATCGTCACAAACAGAACTGCCTGGTAAACCGTAGGCAGAGAGAGAGAAGAGGACAACAATATATATATATCGTCAAATATATATATATATATCGTCAAATAGAACTGCCCGGTAAACCGTAGGCAGAGAGGGAGAAGAGGACAGCCCCTCGTTTGTTGTCCTCTTCTCCCTCTCTGCCTACGGTTTACCGGGCAGCTCTGTTTGACGATATCTATCTATCTATCTATCTATCTATCTATATTGACGATATATATATATATATATATATATATATATATCGTCAAATATATATATATCGTCACATATATATCGTCACAAACAGAACTGCCCGGTAAACCGTAGGCAGAGAGAGAGAAGAGGACAACAAACGAGGGGCTGTGACAAACTGTTTCGTCGGAGTTTCACCGACTCRTCAGGAGGCTGAACCCTCAACAGTCTGCAGAATCCCCTCACTGATTACACTGTAAATGATAATCTACCTTAACCAAAATCAAAGTAGACTACCACTCACCCACACCAGATGGAAAACTCTACAGACTGTCGGTTCACACCCCATCACAAGCCAGCAAAACATCCACGAAACAAAAAAAGGTCTGTCACAGCCAAAAAATACACTCCAGACACGCCGCTGGCACTAGAGGCACAGCATGGCCGCCTAGTAACGGCCCCGACCACTGCCGCTCAACCTGACCGGAAAAACCCGTAGCACCAAGCTAGAAGTCGTAGTATATATCGTCACAAACAGAACTGCCCGGTAAACCGTAGGCAGAGAGAGAGAAGAGGACAACAAATGAGGGGCTGTGACATATATATATCGTCACAAACAGAACTGCCCGGTAAACCGTAGGCAGAGAGAGAGAAGAGGACATATATAGATAGATAGATAGATAGATAGATAGAGATAGATAGATAGATAGATAGATAGATAGATAGAGAGAGAGAGAGAGAGAGAGAGAGAGAGAGAGGGGACCCCTGCAAACATAGGGCCTCGCAAAGGAGGTAAACCACGTTTCGAGAGTGTGGTTTAAAAAAAAAAAAGAAAAAAAAAAAAGAGGCAATGAGGAGGAATGAGCTCGAACCTTGACCGAAGTAGCTGCAGTCAAATCTCCTAGGCACTGCTGGCCTGGGATAGTCAATCCTGCTCCACTCCTTTCCTAAATCGGAAAATCCTAATTATCTACGTGGTACCGGTTGACGGTTGATCTCCTCGGCGGCTTTGGCCTGGGAGAATCAATGCTGCACCACATGTCTCCATTATTGTGTACATTTCCGTTTGGGAAAACACTCCATACATGAGCGAAAAAGGTTGAGGTGATGGTAGTCAAGAAAACTTGAACTGTGTTTCCCTACTGAGAGAATCCTAAATCGGCTTGTCATGATCACAAAGAGGTTATTGGGTGGTCATGATGATTCTGCGCGCCCCACCGCCTGGCTACCTTCTTCCCCCGAATACAACGTACGGTCATTACAGCTGTGTATTTAGACTGAAACATACCCCAAATTCAGCGATAATGACAGGACATTGTATTCGGGGGAAGACTGTAGAACAAATAATAATTAGTACTTAATTAGTACTTAGTACTAAATACTACTAATTACAACAATACTTTTTCGAGGACGGACTTGTCGCTGTAACAATGATATCTGTGGTCGTCCAAACTTCTCAATATATGTGGTTGACACTGGTTGTAGTACTGGCGACCTTTGATTTTCACTGGCACCCCTGCTCAGATGTTCACAATTCCAAAAAAAAAAAAAAACTATCACAATTCACTCTGCAGGTGTGGAATGATGGGAAGTCTCGATGATCTTGCATTCTCCTCCCTGGATAACTTCCAGTTTTTGCGACGGTGGGGGTTGCCTGCCAGTGTCTTGATCACACGGCTTGTGTCTTCTCAATGGATGGGGGGTTGCTTGCCAGCGATTTTTTTTTATTTTTATTTTTTTAAGATGGAAGAACTCTGGTAAATCCTGGTTTTGAATGTTTCGACCGTACTACTGTTTTCACTGTTGAGGGACACCGTCCGGAGGAAAAAAAAAAAAAAAAAAAAAAAAAACTCTGCGAAATGGCTCAAAAGCCTGAGACACATCTGGATCCATCCTTGCAGCAGCAGAGCACTTGCTAGTGCCAAGCCCACTTTGATGCTCTTTCCCCCTTTTGCCCCCGCCAGCAACCACTCCACACTTGAAAAAAAAAAGAAAAAAAAAGGAGGCTACTTCTTTTAAGCCCAACCAATTCAGCATTTTCCTCAACTACTACAATAGAGAACTACCAAAACCAAAACAAAAAAACAAACAAAAAAAAAATAAAAAAAAATAAAAAAAAAATAAAAAAATAAAAATAAAAAAATAAAAAAAAATTAAAAATATTTTTTTTTTGGAAAAAACAATAGAGAACTACCAAAAAAAAAGAGGAGGATTGGGTTGACCTCTCACTGAAGCATTGCCAAATGCGTAGAGTGGGGGAGGGGCTCAGCCAATTTGTTATGTATTCACATATACTTGAGGACACATGTCGAGCGAGCCATAAACGAGACTTTATATAAGGGAAAAGAAGTGCATGCTCTCAGCATCACCCATATGATTTGCACAGCTCTCCCCGCAAAGGAGAGAGAGGCACACTTCCTACGACTCCCTCTCTTTTTTTTTTTTTTTTTTTTTTTTTTTTTTTTTTT